GCGTTGGTGAGTTCTCAGACCCCAGAGAGGCCAGATTTTGATCTTTTGTTTTTAATTGTTGCCTGGATATTATGTAGAAGGAAAGAGAAATTAATTAGCAAATTAAAGGAAAGTACCCCAGAGTTCATTAGATTGGTGTTTGAGGTGTAGGATTTTCTCAATGAATCATGAGAGGCAGTGGTGGCCCACCTTGGTGTTGCCCAGTGACTGGGTGACGAGTTACTGCTGTTTCTGCGTTGACTCTGAACTGGCGGCACGAACAGACTTCCTGAGAGATACAGTTTTGGAGAGTAAGGGGAGAGGCCCTAGGCTTTCTGTAGCTTGTCCGCCTTTGTGTGACATGCATGGGACCGTGACGTTTCAGCTGCTGCAGAGGTAGCCCCGGAAGGTGAGGGTGGAGTGTTTTTCTTCACTTTTATTGAGCCCTTGGGTTTGAGGTTTGGATGCTCTCTAAGTGGAGGCTCCTGGGTAGAAGAGAGCCTTGAGAAAACTGAAAGTCTCCCGGGGAGTGTGTGGGCTGAGGGAGTCAAGCCCATCTGTTCAGCTGGGCAGGTGTCAGCCAAAGCCATTGTGTGGTGGTTTTGAGGTTGGTGGGAGAAAGCATCCATGGGGTTTAAAGCTGTGGCCTTTTCACTACTTGCAGTTCCTTTCCACAACTGGGCTCTACTTTCTGGTGTCCAAGGGTCTATGCCAGATGCTGTGATCCCTCCCAGGCTGGTAGGTGGTGGGTAATGGGCATGCCCTTCCCTGCAGGAGCCAGGCACCAGACTGGGCTGCCGATGGGTCACTGTCGGATCTGTCCTGGGTTGTTAGAGCCTCAGGATAGACTTCAGATAGACTTGGGTTTGAATCCTGCCTGTGTCTACACTGTGCATTAGGGCAGGTTGCAGTGTTTGGAGCCATAGTAGGCTCTGCCCCGGGACACCTGCTGGGCTGATGTGAGGCTTTCAGGAGTGAGGGCTGCAGGGGAAAGGTGGGTCTTTCCTGAGGATTCCTGCAAGTTCCCCAGGGAGTTCTCCTGGGGAGTCCAGGTCTGTAGGCGCTGTCGTCTTGGCCCTTGGGCTGTGCAGCATCTCACTGACCATGGCAGTGAGGCTCCGTTTTCTGGCAGCCTGGGTGTTTGCCTGAGATGTAGTCAGCCTGGGAGGAGCAGCAGCCTTGCGTTGAGTTACTTTTCCCGGAATGAATGTTTATCTGTGCTTAGATTTGGTGGCAGCTCCACGTGACTTGACTAGCACTGGCGCTGCCCACCCAGAGAGGGGCTGGCTGGGGGTGGGGCGGGGTCAGTACCTCAGGTAGGACTGGTTAGGGGAGGCTGGGCTAACCTGGACAGTTGGTACAGTCTATGGGTGGGGGGCGGGCGGTGGTGAGTATAAGACTGCCTAAATCTGAGGCCACTCTTGCCCAGCTATGCTTTGAAGAGAGCCTCTTCCTTTGTTCAGAAAAGGACTCTGATCTAGAGGTGGGCACCATAGAGTCATGGGCACCAGAGAGTCATGGGCACTTGGGCCAGCAAACAGCCACAGGTAGCCAGGGCCCTGGGAGAGCACTTATCAGTGCGCCGTTTTCCCCAGGTTTCATGGGGGGTGTCAGCTGAGCCTCTGCTGTGGTTTGTACCCTTGGCAAGACAGAGCACTTGCTGGGTGTCTGCCGGGCTCTCGGCTGTCAGGTGTTTCTCCACCAGCACACTGTTCCCGCTTCTCCCCCTTCCCCCATATGCACACATGTGGACACAAGCCTGGGACATAGTGTACTTTGAGGACATCTGTCTTGGCCTCAGCTCCGGAAGGGGCTCTCTCTCTTCTTTGGGATGAGTCCTAGAGCCTCATCACCTTCTGGCTTGCGGTGGCGCCTCATCCTGGGGGTTGGGGAGGCACCAGGAGCCCTCCCCTGTGTCCAGATCTTTAAGCTTTGGGAGGTTAGGTAACTAGTCTTTTAAACCAGTTTTGTCCTGTTGCTTTTCCTGGGGAAAATAATTTCTTGACCTACACACAGACATGCCTTCTTGTCTAACAGTCTGAGGTGGAGAAATACCCTCCATGACTATTTGGCTCACTTTTTTACACTCAGCCTGATGGTCGCAGAAGCGTCTCCTGCCTGTTGTAGTTCATCCCAGACTCTGAGCAAGCACGGGGGCCTCCACCTGATGAACCAGGTGCAAGTTCCTTGGGTTACAGGTTGCAAGAGCCACATGTGAGATTGGACTCAAACTGCAGCATCTTGGAACCACAGCATCCCAGGATGGGTCTCTGCAGTTCCCTGGCCCCCATCCCACATTGTGCTAGAGGGGAAGGGTCTTGCCTCAGGCCATACAGCCAGGCAGTAGCCAGCTGGGGCTGGAAAAACCAGGTCTCCTGCTTCCCAGTCTAATGCTTTTCCTTAAAGTTATTGCCCAGTAGACACTTAGTGCAGAGGCTCAGGGCGGCCTAATGTGGCACTGAGTTTGGGAAGATCCCTGCTAGGTGTGTCTGTGGGTCCATCTGAGAGATCTGATAAGGTGACAGCTTTCCTGGATTCAACAATATGCCTGTCCTAGTCTGGGCGCTCGAGCTACAGAGAGGGAGATGACAAAATGCCTTCTCTTTTGGAACTCACAATTTAGGCAGAGGAGGCATAATTAAACCATGCCGATGTCATTTAGGGAAGCCAGAGTGTGTGTGTGTGTATGTTTAGTCTCTGCCTCCCTAGCCATCCCCTTCTCTTCCTTTCTTCCTTCTTTATTTCCCTTATTCAGAAACCCAGAGTTGGTATTAAAGTTCTCCAGTTCCGGTTTTATCTGATTGTGTGAAAATGTTCCTCTAATTTCTGAAGCCGTGCATTAGCTCTGTGGGTAATCTTTAACTTGCTGCTTTATAATGACTATAATGATTCATCAGCAGCCATATGGTTGGGTATTACGGTCTTTGGATAGCAGCAGAGTAGGGGTTTCCAGGCTGGGGCTAGACTAATTTATGGTTTGGGAAAGACGGGACAGTTAATACCCAGGTAGTCCCAGCCCTTCCGTGGATTCCACCCTGGGGACCTTCCAGACTTTGGGGGCAGGGCCAGGAGGCTCATACCCTTCGGGCTCAGCTGGGCTCTGGATGTATGTGAAAGGGGCCCAGGCATCCTGGGGCCAAGCCAAACCTGGTGATTTCTTCACTGACCGTTTACCCAGTGTCTCCTATGCCTTATTCCCTGCTCAGTGTTCCTTGCCTGTACTTGATAAGAAGCAGAGACTGAAATTCTGCTTGAATCCTTGTCCACCTGGAAATTCCAGTTATTCTTATCTGGTTAAGCAGCAGTCCAGTTGTTTTAGGACAGATAGTCTAACTCCCTTGAGGGC